TAGATCTTCCTGCAAAGCTCTTCTGCAGCTAGCATTTATTACTAGCCATATTGAATGTGTTGCAGTAGGATCAAGCTTCAGTTTCCTTCTCTTTTCGAGCAACTCCTTAGTAGTGATGGAGATGCGATCCGATCATCTTGCTTGAGGAACTGAGGCGAATTCGGCACAGCTTTTCAGTCCTTCGACAAGCAGCTCATAGTCTTCGGTCAGGTCTTCTTTTATCTGCCAGTCACGTTTGGATAGGACTTCATTCAGAATGTTCTCGCTGTATACAGCTAAACTTTTTCCTCGTGGTCGATGAAGAGAGTTCTTTTCCAGCTTGCGGCTGAATCGAATCCTCGTGCGAAGAAGGCGGTAATCGGAACCAGTACAGAATGACGGGACTACCGATGTGTCAAGTAGGTATCATCTTGTGTTTGTCAGAATATTGTCGGTCTCCGCATGAGTCATGCCGTTGGGAGACTCCCATGTCCAGTGGCGGCTTCCTTTCTTCTGGAAAAACGAGTTTCCATGGAGGAGACGTGCTGCCGTGCTCCGTGCTGCCGACAGGAGTCCTGCGAGACGGTTCCCATTCTCATTCCTTTCTCTTAATCCCGATCGAAAATTTTGGATCAGGAAAATTTTGTATCTAAAGTGACGTCAAGAATAGTACAAAAAGTAAGAGCTTACACTCTACACCAGCGTAATTCTACTGAAAGTTCCGCTAAAATAAACCAATGTCAGAAGTCGCTACTGCCTGGAAGCAATCCAGTCGCCAGGTGGTGAAATTCATTCTAGTCTATAAGTGCAGCTCGCTGCCTGTAGGAGCGACATGGGAACGTCCAGACACGTTTCTTGGTATACAGTGTGAAAAATTCAAAAATTCAAGTTATGTAGAACATATGCTTGGATAAGGCATAAGCCACCATGAAGGCTGTCATTCAGGTATTTAGGTATTACACAGTAAGCCGAAAAGAAGTCGGAGTAACGAAAAATTACAAGCCTAAACGTACAGTCAGCAATCAAAACTTTCTTCTGCCAAAATTTTGATCCATAAGGTAAGGTCTGCCGCCAAAAATACGATAAGCTAAAGATCAAGAATAAAAATTCAGTCCAGGGAATCAGCTTTTTAAGAGAGGGGGGAGAGGAGGCTTAACAACTTATGCGGAAAAAGCTTAAACAACAGCTACAGTGAAATCTTTGCGGACTCTATAAAGAACTGCACCTAACATGAAAGCATCCACACTGTAAACGTTAGTCAACTTCGGAAAAGTTTAATGAACTTCCTAAACGACGTAAAGAAAAACAAATTAAGGAATCTGCAATAAACTATCGTTGACGGAAAGGACTCCAATGTCCAACTTTCCGGTTCGGCTACTTCGTTCCTCTTGATTTCTGGTCAAACCAGTAACCACATCTGACAAGTCAGACACAAACTGATAGCGATTCATAAAACCTGGACGAGTTATTGTGTGAGAAAAAGGAAAAAATCTTGCACAATCGAGTGTAAAATTAGAAACAACGTGGCGTCCAGGGACGATTTTAGACGAAACCCGCCCCATTGCCAAGAAACCGTCTTTTATGAGTTTTTAGTCTCCGCTTCCCAAATCCTACGGGACTTTCTTACAGGATGACCATCCAAGAGGATATGTGAAACCTGAAAATAGGAGACAGGAAATAATTTGGACCAGAAGCGACCTTCTAATGGAATCGATTTGAGACGGAGGTGAACTCAGTGGGCTAAGTTCATTTTTTATACATTACTACGTTCAACACAAACAAAGTTCCACATGTATGTGCCTAGGTATAGCCAACTAGGTATAATTTGCATTCTGCACGTTCTTTCGCCCAGAAACGGTCAGTTTCTTTCTCTACAAAAAGTGAAGAGGAATCGGTACAAAGAGGCCTCTAACACGTAAGTGCATCACTGATCCGAGATAGTCTGTTATTGCTGACAAAATAGTAAAAATGTATGGTGCCATACAAAAAATGTGGTATTCTACGTAACCGTGAGCAGATGGAATCAAATGGCAGCTCCAATGCGCGTGAAGGAATCGAGCCATTCGACTAAGTAAATTACAAGTGGTAAGCTATTTTTCAGACTATCAGTGAATTTTCCCGGGATATCGAGGAACATCCTAGTACTGCACAAATATTTCAACATCTGAGAAGTACTGACGGAGGAGTACTACGTCTGCTAGAGTGTACATGTAAGTCAAGATAAACCCCTGGATGAATAGTGCACCTAAAACACGTCAATCCGCGTCTTTGATCCATTTCAGGCTCATCGGGTAATAGTTGGACTTTTACTAGTAGTTGTTATCACTGCTTACTTTGGAGTCTCACTTCTGTTTTCTTTATTGTTTTTGTTTTCGATGTACTCGAAAAGGTTCTTTATGTTAAAATAATTCAGTGGAACATTGATAAGTCTAGAATTCGACTAGTGCTGTTAAGAAGTACTTCTTTTGTTTGGATACAATCTGTAAGTGGATTTGGAAAAAGTCTTAAATCACCAGGAAGTATTATGAGACCAAGATGGTGTAAGAGGTCTTGAAAAGGAACTCGTACCATCTGTATACACTTTTAGAAAATCAATAACGGTTAATTGTCATCAGTATCACCTGTGAAATCTCGGAAATCGGAGCTACACGAAAAGCTCCATGCTTTGATTGAACTGTATTAACTCTCTCGATTTTAAACGGCAACCTTAAGATGATACAATTGGACTCAAAAACAAATTTATTAATAGAAGAGAGATCCGTTAGAGTCGGCACATTTGTCGTGGACGGGAATACGGCCATGGGTAACTCGCTGGACTTTGCTTCGCATTGTGTTTACGCTTAAAGGGAATTCTAGTTGGAAATTTCGATCTCATTAGCTTAGGAAGAGACTCTGTTGTGAAATGAACAATCTGGTGTACACGAAACAGGAGCCGCGCATCCACAGTGAGGTGTGTGAGTTAAGAAAATTGACTTGCAATAATTCTTGATATTCCTGTTGAGCAAGGATGAGATGCTACTTTATTCTTTATTCCGTTAAAGCTGACGTTCCAGCAGTATCCTTCCAAGCTCTGAAGAAGGTGACACTGCCGAAACGTCAGCTTTAACGGTACAGCAAGTATATGGAGAACTATTTGACCAATGCTGAGGTTAATACAAAGTCAGTCGTGGGAATGAATTACAGTAATTGTTGGTGATTTTTTCTTCGTCTGGACCTTCAGTTCCTTGATATGAATCCCGTTTGGGTCTCCTATACATTTTCTGGTAGATTCTTCGAGTAAAATGGTTTCTTCGATTGATATCATAAACATAACCTTTAGCTGGATTTCAACCTGTTTGTCTTTTATCGTCCACATATATTTACCCTTCCATAATTCATCTAGATTTTCTTGTATTCTTTTATTGACAAAAGTAAAACCCTTTTGCTTTCACCAGTTATATGAAAACAACTGTTCCCAATGAAATCAAAAGCAAAAGAGTTAAGCACTGTAATCTTTTTATATTGTTCTAAATGGTACCGTTGGTTAAAGCTAAAAGGATAAAGCTCTCGGCGTTGATCAATCTCTAATGGATGCGCCATGCATTAGACCTCACTAAGCATCGTGTGGAGGTGATTGAATGCATATCTGGCCTTTACAATGACTTGCGGTGGTCTACCGATGTATCGAGCCAGTGCTGCTATCCTCCCAGACAAGTCTGGTACAAATTTGCCGACCCCGGAGGGATAGAAAACTTGGTGGGCCATGGGCGCGGGGATCGATTCCACGTGTTTGTTGCAGGGCGCCTCCGACCACTGCGCCACACGCGTGCCCACCGTTGGTTATCGTTTGCAAACCAGTTAATGGCATTAGTGTTCAGCTTCAAAAACAGATCGAACGAAACTCGATGGAAGATGTTTTTGAGCTGGATAAAAATACATGTAGAAAAGTAAATTTTTTTCAATTGTCGATGAAAATGCTTCTGCTTCTAAATTCCATCGTTAGCTTTATGAGGGTCAAGAGGAGGAAGGACGAGGTATGCAAACTAAACGTTCTGGAACTTGGTACTCATAAATGCTTTGTTTTTTCTTTAGCAATCGCGAGGTGGTTATACAGCATACGTTTAATTCCGTACAAAAATATACGATACAATGGTAGTGACGTTTCGGCAGTATCGCTTTCTTTAGAGCCGTTTCTTACGTGTCTTCCACTGAGGAAGTAAAGAACAGCTGATTGAGTCGCATATGGTGGACGACTGCACAACCCCACATTAAAAAATCGGTGCGAACACGGACGGGACGAGATCGCTTGTGCTGTCTCGGCATTCCTCCTTGCTATTCATTCCAGGGTTCTTGGCATTTATCTATAAAACGTCGAGAAATTTGCGCGTTGGTGTTTTAGTCTCCTGTGCGAGGGCAGTAACTTTTACATCAAAACCCTCTCCGCTATGCTTTTGTATACTATGCGTTCCTAGTGGGGTACTTTGCATTGCTTTTCGTTTGCCATCTAGGTGCTCTCTTACACGGGTACATAAAGGTCTGCCCATTTCGCCAGTGTATTCATTTCCGCAGGTATCACAGGAGGTCAAGTATATCATACCTGAATTCGTACACTCATGTATATTTAGATATACCTTATAGATTTTAATCTTTCTGCTTAGGCTGTTGAAATGTTCGACGTAGTAAATTGCATATCAGTGTACCCTTCCAGGCTCCAAAGAAGGCGATACTGCTGAAACGTCAGCCACTGTTGTGTGGTGTGTGTTTGTACGGAAGTAAATGTATGGTGTTTAACAACTTCGCGAATGCTGAAAAAGAAAACGCATTTATAACCCAATGCTGAGGTTAACAGAAAGTCGATCCTGGGATTTTGGTGCTTAGTTTTTAGTCCTTAACCGTGCTGGTTTTTCGACAACTGACAATATCAACCTCAATCAGAACAGTAGTTGAAGAAATTCTAAATGCCGACTTTCTGTTAACCGCGACGATCATGCATAACACAGGCACGACACGCCATCGAGATTGTTTCTTACTGTGTACGTGTAATGCCAGAACACTCCACACACGCCAATCTTCACACACTTCTTGAAGCCGTAGATCGTATCAGATTTCATGTGATCAAACTGCAAGAAGCAACAATCAGGAAGACCGGCATATGCCAACTAAACAACGGGATCCTTGTGATCCGTAGAGAAAAGGTCCCGGCACGAAATGTCAGCGGCAAAGGCTTTATCGTCCACCGTACTTTGTCCATGTTCTCGACTCGTACGAGATCATTTTCCCGCGCATTGCCGTCCTCTGTATTCAACTGTTGTGTCATTAAGAAAATCACAGTCATCAATTGCTCCTCACCGACCGGTACTACTGATGAGTACGAACTGGATGCGTTCTATTATCAGCTGGGGGAAGTTGTCCACAATGATAAAGTGTATTACAAATTTGTTGTCAACGCCAGAATAGGAACGGCCAACGAGAGCGAATACAGGATCGGGAATTTTGGATTGAAGGGCGAAGGATAAAGATACACCTCTCGGCGTTGATCAATCCTTGAGTAATGCGCCATCCATTCGACTTCATTGGTCATCGTTGAAGGTCATTAAATGAATATCTGGGCTTTACAATTACTCGCGGGGGCCTAGAGCTGTATCGAGCCGGTGCTGCTAGCCTTTTAGACGAGTCTGGTACCAATTTGCAGACCCCGGATGGATGGAAGGTTTCGTGGGCGTGGGACGCGGTTATCGATCCCGTGTGTATTGCAGGGCGTCTCCGACCACTGCGCTACGCACGTCCTGAATTTTTGGATTGGGAGAAAGAAATATGAATGAAAATAGTCTTACAGGACTCTTGTCTGCAGCATATCTCTTCCAGAGAAACTCATTTTTCCAGAGGAAAGAAACCCGCCGTTGGAGATGGGAGTCTCCTAATGGCGTGGCTAATGCGGAGATCGACCAAATTCTGACAAACAGAAGATGATACCTAAGGAGAGGATACCTACTTGACACATCGGTAGTCCCGTCGTTCTGTACTGGTTCCGATCACCGCCTTCTTCGCGCGAAGATTCGATTCAGCCGGAAGCTGGAAAAGAAGTGATCTCATCTACCACGAGGAAAAAGTCTGACTGTACGTGACGAGAACATTCTGGACGAAATCCTATCGATAACCGAAGACTACGAGCTGCTTCTCGAAGGACTGAAAAGCTGTGCCGAATTCGTCTCAGTTCCCCAAACAAGACGATCGGATCGCACCTCCACTAATACTAAGAAGTTTGTCGAAAAGAGAAGGAAAGTGAAGCTTGATCCTATTGCAACACGCTTAACACGGCAAGTAATAAATGCAGAAGAGCTTTGCAGGAAGATCTACATCGGTACAGACAGAAACTACTGGAAGCAGCAAAGTAAAGAAGCAGTCTGAGAAAAGAAGACAAATCCATATGATTATAATGTTCCGCTGTTAGCCCTGATGAACGAAGGTAGGGTCACTAAAACTTCTAGTCATGATATCGAATTGATAACGGAAACGTTCTACACCAACCTTTTCCGTTCCACAATCCCGGTCCAGGACCCTAATCCCCTCGATGGAGAAAAACCACCTGGAATTCTTCCGCTGGTGGCTCGAGTTGCGATAGAAAGCATGAAAAGAGGCATAGCTCCAGGACTCGATAATATTACCGCCGACCTCCTTAGAGCTGGAAGTCACAATTTACATGTACTTCTCGCAAATCATATGACAGCCTACCTTCAGAAGGAAAAAATTCAGACAAGTGGAGGACGTCGCACACGGTCATTCTGCCCAAGAAAGATGACCGAAGGAATCTTCGTAACTATCGTCTGACATGCTTGTTGAGTGTTCTGTACAAGCTCTTCACGAAGATTATACTGTCACACATATCAGTGACATTTTTGAGGTACAACCACTGAAGCAAACAGGATTTCGACAAGGATTTTGCTACCTATTTTCTTAATAATTTTACTCGAGATTCTTATGATATAATATTTATTCACAACAGCTAAAGTTTCGGCGAATTTAGCCTCGTTCAGAGCCTAGAAAGGTCAGGTTAACTGCAATCTACTCAGCCATACACCTCTGTAACCTAATAGAAATTCCCGAAACGTTAGCTGTTGTGAACAAATAGCACATAATGACAACCTCAAGTATGCTTATCAAGGAAGTTGTTGAAGAGAGGAGAACTTCATATTCATATAGGAGAGTTTTTGTTTTGTTCTTATAAGATTACAAATTTTTATAGAACTGTTCCAGCTTTAAACTTTTTTGGGATGAAAATTGCGAAGTAGCTGAAGGCGTAATCCCTCGATGCCTTAAAAATTTCCAATGGATGCGCAACAATCACAAACACTAAGTATGGATAGGAAGCGCTGTTTTATTCTAATGAATGGAATTTCGTTTGGCTTGTTTATTTTCGTGGTGGTACTAAATGCCAATATTGAAAAAAAATGAGAAAAAAGAATGAATATGTTTCGTAGATTGCAAAACACTATAGTTTTATTGCGTAAAATATGAAAACATGTCTATTTTAATTAACAAAGTTCTTTATGAGCTATGGTGGTTCAGAGTTGAAGGGGTAAAATGTTTCTTCATTATATGTGTTGAAATCGATGCATACAACGGCGGACGGGTTAGATGTTTCTACAATTCTAATTGCGAGTCTTAACATCTAATGATTCAAGCGTGAAGTCTCAGTAAAGTTGTACTTGAGACATTCATTGTATTTCAGAAGAATGTTGGATTGCTGATATCGGTTTGATAAAACGAACTGATTACAAATGGTGTTTGGTACAATGTTTGTATTGGGTGAGGATCAGTAATCTTCAACAACTCTACTGTTTCAAGGATACCTTTTAGACAGGAAAGAAAATCAGAATAGAGTAGAAAACAGTCTGAATGTAAAACTAGTAGGGTAGTGTTGTCGTACTGCTAGCATCGTGTTGACTTAGTACCGGAAATGAATACCCGAAAATTCAGTTGCGAACGGATATATCCTACTTATTTGACTTTTTGTCGGTGCTTCGATCTATGTCTATACCACATTGAAGTTCGATCTGGCCCGGGGTCCAAGTTTTGCGAATATCTCAGCATCGTTGTGATTATGCAATTTAATTTGAATAGTTCAGATCTTGTAATGGATATCCAGTCAACATCAAGTCATTACATAACGCCAACATACAGTGAAAACGATGAAATGAAGAATATGGTACGGGAAATAAAGAAACTGATATCATCAAGGAGACCACCTGTAAGTCGCCATCTTCTGAAGATCAAGATGGAATATTGTGGAGAAAAACGGTGTATTGAAATGGTTAGACCGGTGTCAGTAAAAGTGCTTCAAAACCATCTTCAACAAAAATACGGTGAAGATGTCAAGATGTACTATCAACAAGGAAGTGAAGCTGTGGTCTGTATTAGAAGTCAGGATGAATTGGACAAAGCAATAAAGGTACTTTAGCATTGATTCGATTACTTTTTAAGGAGCTGTAATACTAATTCTGTTCCCAAATAGTTTTTAAACAATCTACTTCTAGCGCTGACTGTCTCATTTTCATTTCATGTGGTTGATTGTACCGATCAACGTTGTCTTCGGTTACTACTATCTAAGCGTCGACCTAAAAGTGTACCTCCAGGGACCCGCGATTGTTATGCAGACCAATGTGCAGCATGTGCAGGTGATAAAATGGAGGTGCGTTAGTAATTTTCGTCGGACTTATGTAGTTATGTAACAAGACGCACGTTGCGCAGTAGTCGGGGGCGCCCTGCAGTGCACATGGGGTCGATCCCCGCGTCCGTGGCTCACCAAGTCTTCCATCTCTCCGCGGTCGGCAGATTGGTACCGTACTTGTCTGGGAGAATAGCAGCACAAGTTCGATTCACCGCCAACGATGTTTAATGAATTGGAATGTATGACGCATCCTTTGGGAATTGATCAAAGCCGAGAGCTTTTTTTAGCTTTATGTAACAGGACAGTGTTGATTTTGAACATATTGAAGGCATATGCAATACAGAGCTCTTTGAATGATTCTGACAAGCTCCTTACATTTAGGTGCCCCACTCAATAAATTGCTTGTATTGTGGAACTGTTGGCGCCGGCATCGAAAGAAATTACACAAGTCTATCGTACTCTAGTGTGCAGTGTGATATCGACGATAAAATTCCTAACACTCAGTCGCCGCGTACTCCTGTTCATTGGAAAGAGGCTAGGTTCGTCATTATATCTTATTTCTGCACAATTTTTTTTACGTTTTTAAGCATCACGATAACACCACTTTATGAAGGGTTTTATGTTCTTTCTCCTTAGTCGTCCTATCATAAATTACTTCTTCATTCAGTAAAGATTTTACTTTGGTATGCCTCCTCACTAATCTCATCACTTGGACTCTAAGCTTATCCTTATACGAGCTCGAAAATAATTTTGCGGCCATCGATTTTTTAAGCAGGGGCATCTCATCTTATAGTGGACTTTATTAATTAACATTCTCAACAATTAACTTATGTTCTGCATCCCATACACTTCCCACGTACCATTTTATTAATTGAAACGGAAAACTTTAAAAAGTAGATAATTCGTCGATAAGGTTTAACTCTAACACAATAAAAGTTCGCTCTTATGCGGCCAAATATTGTGGCTTTTTAAAATTTTTGTCGAAGTTTATATTTCATACCAATTGGACAACGGGGAGTTCTTTCAGTAGTACGCGATAGTGTTCCCTAATGTTCATACTGAAGTTTAGGGCTACACAGTTAGCGTCACAAACCTTAAAAATATGGATTTACTTGCAATTTTTTTAGATCTGCTAGTCTAAACAACTTTGAAAATAAAGTGGTATTTCTAGAAAATCGTGTTTGCTCTTGGAACAGTAAAGCGAGGACTCTTCTTTAAGGTTGTAGAGAAATTATTAGCAGTTGTCGAAAGAACACTTTCGGCATGTATATGTTACGTAAAGGTCGTAGTACAAATTATGTATAGTAGTTATTTTGAGGGCGCATATAGCGCAGTGGTAGGAGGCGCCCTGCAATACACATGGGATCGCTCCCCCCCTCCCCCCTTAGACTCATCAAGCCCTTCATCCCTCCGAAGCCGGCAAATTGGTACCAGACTTGTCTGGGAGGACAGCAGAACTGACTCGATACATTGGTAGGTCTCCGCGAGCCATTGTAAAGGCCAGATATACATTCAATTGCCTCCAAACGATGCTGAATGAAACCGAATGCATAGTATATCCCTGAGGGATTGATCAACGTCGAGAGCTTTATCCTTTTTTTATAGTGGTTATTTCTAGATGTATAGGTAATGGTGCTTTCGGCAGCGTATATCTTGCTTACGACGTTGACACGGGAAGAGATCTCGCTGTGAAAAAGATACCATTAATACCCGATAACAGGGAACTAAGTCGTGAAATGCAAGGACTGGAGTTTGATGTGCAGGAGCTGGGTGAGCGCCGTCACACTTCTATCCCAAAAAATTCTTTCAAATCCACTGTACGTGTTCAATCGTGTAAAATTTAGGCCGACTACAACACCCAAGGATTGTGCAATATTTAGGAGTTCAAGAAACAAGCGACAGAATTCTGATCTTCATGGAGTATATGACTGGCGGTTCACTGAAAGAACATATCGCTTTAGTAGGGAGCTTGTCTAATGTGGTTGCGAAAAAGTATACTTCACAGGTAAACGGACAATTTTGAGTTATTTTAATTCTCGTCTTCGATTTAGTTTTTAAGAGAATTTGTTCCAATTTATATCCGTTTCTCCCTATTACTTCCGAGGGTTGGTTTTAAGATACTGCCGGTAGAGATGCCTTTAGGCCTCAACCGCTTGTTGTTCTAAGCTATGTGAATCTTCATATACGATTAATGATAGCACTACCGTTCGGGCAGGATAAGCCATTAACCAGCTAATTTCTTTGTTTTTTCGAATGAATGTAAAGAACCCATCCACCGCGTTCAATGTGATTTAATTTTGTAAGTGCTATTAAAAATTTAGCACGTTTGTGGCGTTCCATTTCGGTAGGAACGATAAAGTTTTTAAACTTTATCGTTTGTGCTTTATATTTTTGTTGAGCAAACACGTCGAGAACAAGCTGAGGTTTCGGCGGATTTCGCCTTCCTCAGAGCCGCTTTCTATGAGTTTTCCACTGAATATGTCACGTGGTTTTGTTGAATAAAGAATAAAATAACACCTCACGTTTGCTCAACAAGAATATAAAGAATTATTTGATCAATGCCGAGGTTAATAGAAAGTCGGTTGTGAGAGTTATTATTTGTTCTCCACTACTATTAATTAAGCAAATTAAATAGTTGGCAGAACCTATTTTATATTACAAATAGAAACCACTTATTTTTAGGTGTTAGAAGGACTTGCCTTTCTTCATAAAAACCACATTATTCATAGAGATATCAAATCTGCCAATATTCTTCGAGATTCGTTGGGAAATGTAAAAATAGCCGACTTTGGTTCGGGAAAAAAGATGCAGAGCTTAGCGAGTCAACAAGGAGCATTTCATAGCACAATTCATTATACGGCTCCCGAGGTACGAAAGAATAGATTTTTTGTCTATTTTTACGCTTGGGAATACGCACAATGGTCAATGGTGAAAAAAACGTGAAATCCGTGATACAGCCACAAAAGTGCTGAGATATTTGTGAAGCTCCGGACTGTAGGTGTGTGCGTGGGGAACGAAAGTGCTTTTATCCTTTCCGGGGACTAACGCGTTCACCACTGTAGCACGCGTGCATTTCGTTTCGCCATTTTCTCAGCTAGTTTTCTATCTACCAATGACATTAGCAGTCAACCGTGAACGGGATTGATATGGGGAGCCCAAATTACCAATGAACCCAGTGAAGCTGAGGCTTCACACATTATACCCTGCCGTGAAGGCAGTAAACAAAAAGTTGAGTGAAATGGATTGGGACATAGTGGAGTTGACTTCAAGTATTGCGCTTTAACAAACAAGGCTCCAATCTGAACAACAAATTCTGCTATACCGAACTGGTGAGTTTAAGGTTAATTTCGTCAAGGAACAGTGTTAAATTGCCAGTTTGTTGGCTTCTGCAATTCGCTAGAAGGTATAATTAGCTCGCGGCGTTCACTCAGACCTTATTAGTTAGAGAAGGGCGAAGAATATGCTAATTATATAAAGGATAAGCATGAAGATTGGTGCCAGACTTGACTGGGAGGATATCACACTGGCTTTATACATCGGTAGGCCACTGCGAGCCATTGTAGAGACGAGATATGCACTCATTCATCTCCAACGGTACTTCGTGAAGGCATGGCGCATCTCTCAGGGATTGATCAACGCCTGGAGCTTTACCTTTCTATACTGACTATATATATGCATATATATCATATATGCGTATATATTTCATATATGTGTGATTATGCATATATATGTATATGTATATGTATATGTATATGTATATATCCTTTGCGACTTCATAGGCTGTATGCTGTTGTAGGTATTGCTTGGAAAAACCCCTTATGGGAGAAAAGCTGATGTTTGGAGTGTTGGAGTGACGCTGGTTGAAATGTTAACTGGAGAGGTACCTTGGAAGGAATTCGAGCCTATGGCAGCGATGTTCCAAATAGCATACGAAGAGCCTCGTATTAATGTAAGTTTTATCTGAATAACTGTATTTAGGTATTGTCGAGAATTACGACTTGATTTTTGATATTATTCGAGATTCAATAGCGAAAGCTATGCAATCTTCAGCTACCACCGACAGTTGAATCAGTGATTGCCGACCTTTGTCGAGTGTTGATGAACAGGAATTTCGATGAAAGACCGATGGCTAATGAAGTGTTATCTAACCATCCTGCATTCAAAACATAGTTGTACATGAAACGATACTCACTTCGAACGGGGACGAACATTATGACGTGGTTTGCCTTTACTTCGTCTCTACGCTCTAATCTGTTCTCACATTAATAAAGTGTAATGTCAACTACTGTGTATTTTACCCTTTTTTCCAACTGTAATTAGTAGGTATAATGGAGGTATGATGTATAAACTACCAATTGAGAATCATCCTACGGAATTCGAGCACTGATTACCATAATGATGCTGAGATATTTGCAAAACTGCGACGCTGGTGTCTGCGGGGGACCGAACACGCTACTTTCCTTTCCGGAGGCTAACCTACTACGCCATGCGAGTCCTTCGTTTCGCCTTTCTCTCAGTCAAATTATTGATCTATAGGCTATCAACAATTATCCGTCAACGGGATTGTTCTAGAGAACACAAATCGGCATTGAACCCAGTTAAGTTGAAGCTGTGGTATAAATCACAATGTCATCAGTTTTTATAGGCATTAAATTATATGCCATTAAAAAATAGTGGGCAATAAATAGAAACTGACGACATTGTGCCTGATATCAGTCGTTCTTGGCATACCCCATCTTTTTTCGGGTAATTTCTTTCTGTGGTATGTAAACAATACTATTGGTGGTACCAATTCACGATCTCAAACTGTGCAAAATCTTGTTGTTCACTCATTACTATTCTATTCATATAGTTTGGATGTTCCACGTAATTGTTTTATTAAATGAAGTCTTTCATGACTTTTAAAAATTGTGTTCGATTTAGCGGTATTTAACCCATCGTTTTCGTTGCCATATTCGTTTTGGCCATGTTGATAATCAGATATTTTCTGCCGCAACGTCCCCACTAGTGTTTACGGCCACTAAGTTTGTGGTCACGTAATTTAACTTGTTAACTTGCAGAGAAAATTCGTGGTGGAAGATTTTGCCGATACTTCCTTATCCACACGGCGTTATTAAGGATTTTCTTTTATCGCATATATTCTCAATTTAGTGGGTTTTGCGGCCCAGACCTAAGGGTATGAAAAGGGTGTTGCGGTGAATATACGCTTATTGTAGTCCTACTGCGCTTCTAAAGAAGTATACTTACGCCGAAAATCGTATTTATTGTTGTGTAATCTTAGTGTTTTATGTTCGAAAGTTGATTTTGAAGCAGTTTACACTTTATCCATGATTTCAGAACGTTTATGCTGGTTTCTTCAGAAAGCATTTAGTTATGGACGTGCTTGGAACATTAAGGGAAACAATAGTTAGTGTTCAAAACGAAATATCTTCAAGGTGAGTGAAAGAAAGACTAGTTACTCACAAAATTTGGTGTTGATCTTGGTTTCTCTTGCTGATATTCACGCATCCTTCCTGTATATCTTGCTTCAAGTGTTCAGTAGGTTTTTTACGTTTGAAATTTCATAACCTAGCTAGTTTCACGTTCAGTAATGAGGGTTGTAAAATCTTGCTGTAAGGGTTCGCTATCCTATTACGTTTGAAATTTCGTAACCTAGCTAGTGTAACTCTTAGTAATGAGGGTCATGTAAATTTATGAAATATTACATACCTCACTTGTATAACTACTGAGTAGGAGAAGTAGTGAGCAGAGAGTGGAAGTGGTTCAAATGTTTTCATGTAAGTATTTTAGTTATTGATCATTGTACATTTTAGTGTCGAGCGATTACGATTCAATGTTGTACCATCGTCGGCAGCAGAAAAAAAGTGAGATGTAGAGAAACTTGCATAATTTGAATAAGACTATTACTATACTAGACTAGACTATTACCGTAGAAAGATTGAGAAGTGAGAAGGGGGTTTTAATTTTCGATTTTCGATTTTTCTTACGTCAAATTTTTCCTAACTCAGTTGAATGGCTTATTCCATGTGAGTATTTAAAGAGCCATTTATCAAACTGTTGAAATCTCTCAATTATTGTCAGAGGAGTATTTAACGCTGTGGTTAAGGATGCACTATGACACATATGTGCTCGTTGATGAAGCGCTCCTTAGGCTGATTATGCACTTCTTTTCTTCAGAGTTGGCAACTTAGTACCAAATTTGTTAAGGTAGGGCATACACAAAAACCAGTGACTTGATATAGTGCAAATCTGGGAATGCTTTTAAACCTATGCAAAAATCCTCGTGTCGTGGGTGGATGGACACGAATCCTAAATCCTAATTCACTTTCACATCTGGGATTATGTGAAGATTGTAGTGTATGTATTAAATAAGTACTATCACTTCCTGTCCATACATTTCTATTTAAGGAATAAGAACTATGCTTTCCACTTACATAGATACTTGGACTACTCGTCTTCACTGGTTGTGTGGGCCCCAGCATAATTTCCTTTCTCTGGAGTTCTTCTGTTTTAGCTAATGTGGTGCTCTGGAGTGCCGACGTCAACCTAGCCAAGGTCTGCCCCAGGTCGTCACCATCACAGGCAGTCGCCGCCCCTTGTGGATCAGAGGGAGATTTTACACCATGGGACCAGTTTAATAGCAGGACGCTGGTGTATCCTGGTATTGGTTTACTCTTAGCTAGGTTTCCCGATAGAAACACCAGACTCAGCCTGGGAGACCCTCCCCCCGCTGCACATCGCAGTCCGACACCCAGGAACACCTACCAGCCACGATGCGAGGGTAAACTGTTGGGAGGATATGCTTTTTATTCACTCTTAATACCCATTTTCAACTTTGAAGTATTAATATAATCATATCCTGTGTGTATTCACAAGAAAGAAATAAATAACCTTAGTAGCATAGATTTCCATAAAACGGACTGTTAGCTACTGCACAAAATTAGGTAGCATTCTTAGTATTTATCAGGGGTGAACACTGTAATAGTCAAAACCTGTCTCATGCAGGTTTCTGACACACACGTTGGGGCAGGAAGTACCGTTGAGTCGAAGAGGTGAGCACGGAGTCGGGTGTTCTTTGTTCTCTTCACTACATTTTGGATGTTCTTGTAAGCTTCCCAAGCCGCTCGTTTCCTTCTGCTCAGCTCTGGAGTTAAGTCGTTCATCGTATTGATTTCCCGACCTAGATAGACATAACTGGGGCATTCGGAGATATTCGTTGTTGAGCGTGAATGGGGCGTACGAATCCAATCCATTCTTCATGAACGTCGTTTTTGTGAGATTTACTTGAAGACCAATCTTTCCACAGGCTTTATCAAAGTCCGCAAGCATACGTTCCGTTTGGCTAATGCTTGGTGTTATAAGAACGATGTCATCAGCAAAGCGAAGGTGATGTAACTTCCGACCATCGATTTTCACTCCTATATTATCCCATTCCAATGTTCGCACAACGTTCTCGAGAGTGGCGGTGAATAATTTTGGTGAGAAGGTGCCGCCTTGCCTAACCACTCTTTTGACATCAATGATAAGATCGTTGTAGAATGGTGATATCTCGGTTATGAAATCTTTGTATGGCTCACTAGGATATCTACTGAGAAGAAACTCGCTGATTATGAAGGACTTGACTGCTTCTACCTCAATTGAGGCAAAAGCCTTCTTTAAATCGATGAAAGTGAGACAGAGCGGTCTTTTGTATTCTCGCGATACTTCAATGAGCCTTGTTATCGTGTGGATTTGGTCCATGGCAGAGTATGAAGTGAAATACAACCACAATGATGCCGAGAGTTTTTCTGCAATGGAGAAGAATAGGCAGTAAATAGAAATTGGTTACATTGCGATTTAGCTTCAGTTTAACTGGGTTTATTGCCTATAAGTGCTCCCCAGATCAATACCATTGTCGGCTGATTGCTAGCTGCATTGGTATATAAAGAACTAGATAGGCGAAACGAGGGATCATGGTGTTGTAATGAACGAATTAGCCCCCGTAAAGGATAATAGTGTGTTCGATCTCCACCCTACACACCTGCGGTCCGGAGTTTTGCAGATATCTCAACGCCATTGTGTTGATGCTCATGGATGGAATAATGTCCATTAATAAGGCCCAAATTTTTTAAAAACACCCAGAAAACGGAAATATGAACCAAAGAAGTCGGGTTGCGTTCCTCGATTTACTTTCTTACTTAAGTATTTGGATGGTCCTTCCTCATTGGTTGTGCTGGCCTCAACATAATTTCCCTTTTTTCGGAGTTTTTCTGGTTTGCCTGATGTGGTGCCCTGGAGTCCCGAGGTCAACCTAGCCAAAGTCTGCCCAAGATCGTGGCCGGCAAAGGTAGTCGCCGCCTTTGTAGCTCAGAGGGAGATTTGCCACCATGGGACTATTTTAATAGCAGGACGGTGATGGATCCTGGTATCAGTTTACCCTCAGCTGTGCTTCGTGGTGGAAACACCGGACTCCTTCTCAGCTTGGGAGACCCTTTCAAGGATGAATTCCCCTGCTGTGCACCGCAGTTCGACACCAAGGATCACCTACCAGGCACGATGAGGCGGTAAGCCGTTGAGAGGATGAAATAATATAATAGGAATAATACTATAATAGTCTATCTTCAAAATTACTATAATGCTAACATTTATATTGTGCTTATAGGCTTCAATATTTTTTGCCATAATGCTCTAATTTTTTAAAATAAAACGGGAAACTTAAAGAAAATTGTAGACTTAAGATTTTGACGCCGGTTGTCTTAGTGATATTAGTGAGGTATATTATTGGGGGATCCTCAGTAGAAGTACAAGTAAGTTAGTTGTAAAATTATGTTATAGTTTTTACGTAAGGTTTCACTTTGTAAATGGTCTGTTTTGGAAAAGAAAATTTTTTCAGATGTGTTACAGACGCCGTGGATGAGATAGTCAAGACGACAGCTGGCAGTGATATGCTTTTGAAGTGGGTTAGTTAAGCAATGATGAAATGTCTCCACAGATTGTTGATTCAACACCGCTTCCATAATGGTTTACAGGAACTTGGGCAGAAATACAGATAGTTTCGAGAATTTTCTCCAGTGTGCCATAAATTCGTATAAAATCTGTCCATATTCAGGTGAATTTATGAGAAGATTGATAAGAAAGTATTTTTACGCTCAGAACCGACTTTTATTTAGTCACAATTTCCAGTGAGCGAATATTTGCCGGAAAAATGACGAGTTCTTAACAAATTTCAAGCTTTCTTGCATTTGATCTAGATTTGATTTTAAAAGGTATGAAGGTCATTTTCTAAGCTTGAAATGTAACGACAACTTCGCGACACAGCAGTGTAATGCGACGTTGCTGCGTACGAGAGTGGTTTAATCGAAGCTAGCCAATTTTGAGAAGGTTGTCATACAACTGCTACATCGTTAACAGTAGTGGCAGTGTAATTTAAGCACAGTATGTAATCACTGGTCTATGGTTCAGATGGTTTTGGTCTAGTAAGTCGTACTAAAAATAAATGAAATTGTAATACGTTGGCACAGCATATTCTTGTCCAAATCAATCATTTATAACATCACTGTCTGTAGTACATCACTGAGTAAGAGAGAGTGAGAATAAGCAGACGAGTACGGGAAAAGAGATAAAAACGAACGGTGCGTGTTATCCCACATTGAGCGGGTGTTTCAATTACCAAGCCGCCCTTGAAAAAAGTGGCCGCAGGCCGGATTGGTGATTATCGGAGGAATGCTATCCGCGTATGCGCTTAATATGGATAGATGCGCTACGAGGAGCTTATTATAAACAAAAATTGAAGAATTAAACAAGTAACTTCATGGGTGACAGAAATCTATGAAAGTATGAAGTGCTTGAGAGATACGATGTATTTTTAGTAAACGTTTATCTTTGTGGTGTGGTTTTGGCCGGCTATCTAAGTTTATGAACTTGGAAGATTTCATTTTTTTTTTTTTCGAGTCCTTCCCTTACTGTTACAAATACCATATTTCTGTATTCCTCATAGACTAAAAATGCAGTCAAAACTATGGTAGTTGGTAGTTTATGGTAGTACTTATGTTAGTCTTATAATTTTAATCCTCTCAGTTAGAAAACGTTTTGTAGTCAAAATGCAGTCATTGTAGAAGCAATTATACCTAGGAGTTCGTCAATGTAGTACGGTGAAGTTTCATTGCGAAAGAAAAAGCGAAAACATCTATCGAGAACTGGTGATCATTGTGTTTTACCTGAAAAAGATAATTTCTTTGTAGCTAACCATGCACTTTTCATCACTCGGCTCCAGACTTGAGATGGCTTCATGCACTTAGTGAAAATTTTCAACTTAATCGGAGGGTTGTTATTGAAACCTTTATTGTAGAGTCAAAAAACATGAACTTTGTTTCTAATAAAAGATGAACTAAGTGGAAGGCAGTCCTACTACGGAGGGAAATGGACTGAAACTCGAAATTCTTGAGGTTTTGACGTGAAGTATCATAAGATATAACACTGCCAAGAACGTAGCATTAAGAAAATTCTTGGAATATTGATTTAAGGACGGTTAAGTATGATAGTAGTTAAAATCGAATGCGGAGTCGAACCGCTTTGGTAGAGTGCGTGAAATGGAGATCGAATGCGGTGCTTGCATCGGAAAACGTGTTCTGGTATATGAGGGTAATCTAAAACACTCCCACTCCCATAAAAGAGATGCGCAGAAAGAACAAGACATTCTCTTAGTTGAAATGATTGCGTGATCTCTCCAAAACTTCCACACCTTTCGCTGTAAGTGTGAAAAAAGGTTTTGTTTTGTAGTAGAAACAAAAAAACGGAAGCAGGTGAATGTAGTGACAAATCCCTCTTTCTAGAAGTCCTTTAAACTTTTTTTATGTTGTGTTTATGTTACTTTTATTTTGGTGTATTAAATGTTTCAATTGTTACTTGATATTTTGGTTACTAGGTTTCAATTGTCATTGGATCAAATGGGTATTGTGGCTGATGAAGGGGCTCGTCTTGCCAATCTTTGCAGTACTCGAATGGGTCGAGCACAGCAAGTGAGTTACGGACTATCCTTTATGTCTAGAATTTACAAGTACAGAAATAAGCTACGTATAACCACAATGATGCTGGGATATTTGCAAATCTCGGACCCTGGCCATCTTCGAACCCGCGATTACCCCTTCCGGTGGCTCACGTTCTACGTACTGCACCAGCCAGGCTCTTGCTTTACTCTAAGGCACTTTTTACTCAAACTATGCTGTCAACAATTTCCCAGTAAACAGTGAATAAAAAGTTAAACTAATTATATTTGCAGAGTATGCACTGAATCCCGTATGTTAATACGAAATAAACTCCTTGTAAATTTGTATTTGTGGATAATTGGTATTCTTTCGAGATGTGTAAAGAGCGAGCTGATGCTATTATGACAATTGATTCCTTCCTGAGGAACATATCAGAGATGGAGAAGAAAATTCGTGACCTCAACAAACAGGTATTGGTTCCAATTTTTTATTTGGTCTCATCGAATAAGTGTTAAAAATTAATCGTTAGACAGTTTTATTCCAGGTCGATAAGCTTACTCGTTTCTGTAACCAGACAGAGCAAGCGATGACATATTTGGAAGCACTTTGCCAAATCGTGAGGACCGAAAACGAGGTGTATTCATTTTTCTTGATAAAATGAACTTGATGCTATGACTCAACAGTTTGCTATCTCGGAAGGTGGAACGCTCTGTATTATCAAAGTAGCACAACTACCAGTTACAACAGCCGACCATTGTTTGTAGTAAAAACCTCTTCACTCCATAGCTGTCTCGTGTAAGGATAAAGGATAAAGGGTTTGGCGTTGATCAGTGCCTAAAGGATGGGCCATAGATTCTCAGCACTGCTATCCTTCCAGACAAGTCTGATGCTAATTTTTCGACCGAATAGAGGACTTGATTATGTTGCGGGACACCTCTGACCACTTTGCCACACGCGCCGATGTCTCGGGAATTCAACGGGAAAAGCAACTTTTTCAACCATCGAGATAACCATCAAATGGAAATTTAAATAGCGCTTATACTATTATTCGCGAAGAGGAACCACTTACATGGGTTTCAATTATGATATTAGGTGGAAATTTTTATTTAAATGAATGATAACTGTACTGGAAGCGGTTCGGCGTGCTATAAGAAACCACAATTCCACACTGCGATGAGTAGGAGTAGAAATAGAAATGGTAGGATATCTATGGCTAGAACTGTCCACAACGGCCTACAGGTGAACCACACATGAGTACCACTGGTTCATTAAAAACAGTAGAAATAAGTGGCTCAACACATAAACTGTTCTAATCCTCATCTTCCTCAAGCCGGCAGTACTGTGTATTTGTAGTGGGACGAGTGGAAGAATTTATTTAGTGCTAGTTTGATCCATTTTTTTAAATAAAATGGGTCATAGTTGATTCTGATAACTATGATTGGGGCTAAGTCTAGTATAGAGAAGAATTGACAGAGTAAATGGTAGTGATTGATTTTGTTTAAAAGCGTCTCCATATGCATGTTCCACTTAGGAATTCATCGGGGCAATTAATGTGAATTTAGCGCATACTGGAATGATTCACGTTGGCCGAGCAGTAGGCAAGCAACTGTTTCCCTATCCAACTATTTTGAAAGCATTACTTATTAATAGTTCTCTTTTCTTGTTTGCTAGAACTGAAGAAATAACTTGGTGAAGAAAACATTGTACTTCTTTCGATAAGAGATTGTTCAATTAGTTGTGCTGAAATATCCCATAGTTGTTTTTGTGCATATATCGGAAGTGTGTAATGAATGCAAAGAAAGATTTTGAATTTATTACACTTGTCATAATCTTTTGTTTCCACATAAAGCATTCCATCGTTTTACATCGATTTCGCAAGTTTTGCATTCTAGATGGATTTGCTACGACACCAAAGTCGTTCATTAGCAACTGTCATTAACATGGATCCAAGCCCTGCTCTCATTCTTAACAGTAAGTAGTGGTATTTAGATAATCTTAACAGGTAGTACCTAAATGTTAAAGTTTTGGCCATATATTCAGTGTTCAGCATCAGTTCGTCTCAGCGATGAAGTGCGAGGGCAGCAAGAGGAGGTTATGTTGGAGGAGTTTCTGTCAGGTAAAATACCAGCATCGTTTCAGTGATTTTTCATATATAGCTTTTTCTGGAATGGTATGCACAGTTTCCTCGATGTACCTTATAATTTTGAATAGTGTTGTATATCCATATTATTGGATCACGTAAGTATAAATTCTTCCCTGCGTCAGTGATATTTCTTAATGTTTAAGTCTTAATCCTTAATGTTAAGTATGGATTGAAAGCTAGTAATCTTTTTTTCTGGGTAAGGCAGTCTGCACCACGGAATTCTTCAAATTTTAAAATTGTTAGATTTCTCAGATGAGCGAAATCCTACCACGTGGATATATTTTTATTGAGATACGCCGCCTTATTTGTGTTTCATTTATGAATTCTCTGGGACAATAAATATAGAAACGTATCTAGAATGACCAGAGGGATCAAGTTCATGGGCATGTGTGTATTTAGTCTTTCCATACAATTCTTATACAAATTCCTCGAAATCTACAAAAGAGAGATTGTGATTACAACAAAACTCCACAGGATTAAGTAGAGAATCTAAGCCAGCGAGTGGGTCCAGCTGACACCTACTTCAAGTGGGCCGCGCCACAGAGCCCTTTATCGTATCAGATGTAGTGCTAATCAATAGAAGAGAATATCTTGAAAGTCGTCAAATAAATACGAAATTTTTCAACACAGTGATCTGTGTTCTAATTCTAAGAAAAACGAATTTCTAATTTTCTAAGAACGAAAGTTCTAATGCTATAGCGTCCGTGTCGACAAGTCGACAAATAAACAATAATTGCAATCTTAACGTTTTTTATTTACTGCTTGTTTTTTTTAATGGCAGGATTTATTGCGAAATATAACTTCAATGATGCTGAGATATTTGCAAAACTCCGGACCGCAAGTGTCTGCGATGGGGAACGAACGCGCTATTGTCCTTTCCGGGAAGTAACGCGTTCACCATCACACCATGCAGGTCCTTCATTTCGCCTGTCTCTCAGTTAGTTCTATCGATCAGTGCCATCAGCAATCACCCATCAACGGGATTAATCTGGGCAGCCTAAATCGACACTCAACTCTCAAAAAGGACAATAGTGCATTCGTTCTCCACCGCAGACATCTGCGGTCCGAAGTTTTGCAAATATCTCAGCATCATTGAAATAATAATTGCATTATTCCGCCTGCTATTCCTAATAGGACTCACCTATGGCTGCATCTCAACGTTCGTAGCAGGATCGTTTCGTCTATGTTCAAATTGATGGCCAGACTGATAATATTTCTTTTCTGGTTACTATTTAATGTACTCAACTAATGTAGCAGAGCCTGGAAAGGTCAAGTTGACAGCAATCTATTCGGTCAAACACCTCCATAACCAAACAGAAAACGCCAAACTAAGATTTCAATCACATTAAACACAGATTTGCGCACTCATCGCTTTTTATGAGGCTTCCACTGAGTATGGCACGTGAACACCAACCGCACAGAGTTCACGTGGAATCGTAATATGCCCGTAATAAATCTTAATATGTATATCGTGTATAAAAGGGCATCACTGTGTAAGGATGCCTCATTCGAGGAGATGGCTCACTGAAGAAGACCTGACTCGACACGAGGGCGAAGCTGCCACGTCGAGACGAATAACAAGCGAGGACCATCGACTCGGATCATCGGCTCTGAAGAAGACGAAGACGTCGAAAGGTTAGCCGAAAATAAACATCACTATCAACTTCGTGTAAGCTCATCAAAGAAAGAATACATACTAATACATAAGTCAACTTTTAGCTGAGAGATAACTGATGGGTTTAAACTAGCAGCCCTTGCCATTTTGGCCCATTCGTTGTTCAATTCTCGGTATTTACTTTTAAATTCCTTCTCAGATGATGGGCGATAAAGTGATGCTTTTTCGTTATCTCCACATCTAACTGATGGGGAATTACGACAAACGCTCCATCCTCTTCACTAACGGATAGTCTTATGTTTTTCAACTTTATCAGCTCTCGTACCTTTCGCATACCACGTTTTTGCATTTCAGTGAGGTTTGAGCTGTATCTTTTCGCGCGATAGTGAGTAAGGACTTTGAGAGTTTCATTCGCAAACATCCGAAATTTAACATCAACTTCATTACTGGGCTCTTGTTGTCTAAAGAACGTCGGGGGAAATGGTGCTATTGGTAGGGCCCCCACTTGATGTTGTTCGCACCTATTTAGCGCTTCATCTCTAGCTTTTTTGCGGAGTCTATCTTGAAGTTCATGTAAACCACATGCGACCCTACGCAAGGTTATCTTAGAAATGGGTTCAGATGGTGAGAAACTCGGCCCCAATTCTAATAACGAGCGCGCACCGTCAGGGAGAGTTATGCCTCCTAACACGGTTAGCCTTGAATTTTCTTGCACATTACCTATCCTAATGTGATCTGTTTGATGTTCTTTAGAGATATTTTTGTGCGCTATTGAAGCTGTGTTATGTGATTTACTCAAAAGGTCTTCGAATTTTCTTCGCAAAGCTACTTTAGCATTAGACCTAATAGAGTTGCAAATCAACACTGACCCGCCCACTATTCTCCTCCAGAGGTGGTCCTCCAAATATTGAGCACAAAAGTTTTCCTTCGTCTCGCATTTTTTCACCTTGGCGAACATCTGGTTTTGTCGGTTTCGTAAACAGGTGCGTAGTATTTGCAATTCGATGTCCAGTACTCGGTGGCTGTCCTCTGGTAGTCCGCATACGTCGTGTAATCGTCTTTGTTTGATGAAGTTCAGAACGACTCGATGTTTTAGACAGCGGCGAAGAAAGTGTATTGACTGTCGAGCTATTTGTCTAAGTGACAGCGCTTCTTTTACAAGTCGGAAGTATCTTGCTGGTACATCTTGCAGTAACTCCGACGACCGACTTTCTATTAATCTCGGCATTGATCAAGTAATTCTTCGCATTCTTGTTGAGCAAACACGAGGTGTTATTTTGAATACGATGAACGCTCAACGCTACTACTTGGCCAACCTCTTACCAAATAGCACAAATTGGTGCATTGGCTCAACTGAGTTGAACTCTACGCTCAATTCAACCCAAGGCTCAACGCTACTACTAGGTCAACCTATTGGCCATCCTACTCAATATTCTCCTATTCTGATATTCCGCTGTATCTCAAGCAAGCAAGCATCACTCAAGGAATCAACCAACAGCTTGGGCAACCTCACGAAGAGAAACCTACGTGCAAGTACGTTTATTTGCCGTATATCAAAACTAGTGGATGAATGGGATTAATAGCGGAAACGTTCTACACCAACCTTTTCCGTTCCACAATCTCCGTCCCGAGTCCTAATCCCCTCGATGGAGAAAAACCACTTGGAATTCTTCCGTCGGAGGTTCGAGTTGCGATAGAAAGCATGAAAAGAGGCACAGCTCCAGGAGCCGATAATACTACCGCAAACTTCTTCAGAGCTGGAAGTCACAATTTACATGTACTTCTCGCAAGCCATATGACAGCCTACGTTCAGAAGGAAAAGCCCAGACAAGTGGGGGACCTCGCACATGGTCATCTTGCCCAAGAAAGGTGACCGAAGGGATCTTCGTAACTATCGTCCCATATGCTTGTTATGTGTATTCTACAAGCTCTTCACGAAGATTATGCTCTCGCGCATACCAAGGACATTGGATGAGGTGCAACCAGTCGAGCAAGAAGGACTTCGAAAAGGAGTTTGCTGCATGGACC